GTGTATAGTGTGTAGTAGTGTAGTGTATAGTGTAGTGTATAGTGTGTAGTAGTGTAGTATTTAGTGTATAGTAGTGTAGTGTAAAGTGTGTAGTGTATAGTGTATAGGAGTGTAGTGTATCGTAGTGTAGTGTAAAGTGTATAGTAGTGTAGTGTATAGTGTATCGTAGTTGTATAATGTATCGTAGTGTAGTGTATAATGTGTAGTAGTGTAGTATTTAGTGTAGTGTAGTGTAAAGTGTGTAGTAGTGTAGTGTATAGTGTATCGTAGTGTAGTGTAAAGTGTGTAGTAGTGTAGTGTATAGTGTATCGTAGTGTAGTGTAAAGTGTGTAGTAGTGTAGTGTATAGTGTATCGTAGTGTAGTGTAAAGTGTGTGGTAGTGTAGTGTATAGTGTATAGTAGTGTAGTGTATAGTAGTGTAGTGTATAATAGTGTAGTGTATAGTAGTGTAGTGTATAGTAGTGTAGTGTATGTAGTGTAGTGTATAGTAGTGTAGTGTATAGTAGTGTAGTGTATAGTAGTGTAGTGTATAGTGTGTATTGTATAGTAGTGTAGTGTATAGTAGTGTAGTGTATAGTAGTGTAGTGTATAGTGTGTAGTGTATAGTAGTGTAGTGTATAGTAGTGTAGTGTATAGTAGTGTATTGTATAGTAGTGTAGTGTATAGTAGTGTAGTGTATAGTAGTGTAGGTATAGTAGTGTAGTGTATAGTAGTGTAGTGTATAGTAGTGTAGTGTATAGTAGTGTAGTGTATAGTAGTGTAGTGTATAGTAGTGTAGTGTATAGTGTAGTGTATAGGTGTAGTGTATAGTAGTGTAGTGTATAGTAGTGTAGTGTATAGTGTAGTGGATAGTAGTGTAGTGTATAGTAGTGTAGTGTATAGAGTGTAGTGTATAGTGTATAGTGTATAGTGTGTAGTGTAGTATTGTATAGTAGTGTAGTGTATAGTGTGTAGTGTATAGTAGTGTAGTGTATAGTAGTGTAGTGTATAGTAGTGTAGTGTAGTGTGTAGTGTATAGGTGTAGTGTATAGTAGTGTAGTGTATAGTGTGTAGTGTATAGTAGTGTAGTGTATAGTAGTGTAGTGTATAGTAGTGTAGTGTATAGTGTGTAGTGTATAGTAGTGTAGTGTATAGTAGTGTAGTGTATAGTAGTGGTGTATAGGAGTGTAGTGTATAATAGTGTAGTGTATAGTAGTGTAGTGTATAATAGTGTAGTGTATAGTAGTGTAGTGTATAGTAGTGTAGTGTATAGTAGTGTATGTATAGTAGTGTAGTGTATAATAGTGTAGTGTATAGTAGTGTAGTGTATAGTAGTGTAGTGTATAGGAGTGTAGTGTATAATAGTGTAGTGTATAGTGTGTAGTATATAGTAGTGTAGTGTATAGTGTGTAGTGTATAGTAGTGTAGTGTATAGTGTAGTGTATAGTAGTGCAGTGTATAGTAGTGTAGTGTATAGTAGTGTAGGTATAGTGGTAGTGTATAGTAGTGTAGTGTATAGTAGTGTAGTGTATAGTTGTGTAGTGTATAGTAGTGTAGTGTATAGTAGTGTAGTGTATAGGTGTGTTATAGATTGTAGTGTATAGTGTGTAGGTATAGTAGTGTAGTGTATAGTAGTGTAGTGTATAGTAGTGTAGGTATAGTATGTAGTGTATAGTAGTGTATAGTATTGTATAGTAGTGTAGTGTATAGTGGTGTAGTGTATAGTAGTGTAGTGTATAGTGTGTAGTGTATAGTAGTGTAGTGTATAGTAGTGTAGTGTATAGTAGTGTAGTGTATAGTAGTGTAGTGTATAGTAGTGTAGTGTATAGTAGTGTAGTGTATAGTAGTGTAGTGTATAGTAGTGTATTGTATAGTGTGTAGTGTATAGTAGTGTAGTGTATAGTGTAGTGTATAGTAGTGTATACTGTAGTGTATAATAGTGTATTGTATAGTAGTGTAGTGTATAGTAGTGTAGTGTATAGTAGTGTAGTGTATAGTAGTGTAGTGTATAGTAGTGTAGTGTATAGTAGTGTATAGTGTAGTGTATAATAGTGTATTGTATAGTAGTGTAGTGTATAGTAGTGTATGTATAGTGTGTAGTGTAGAGGTGTATTGTATAGTAGTGTAGTGTATAGTGTGTAGTATAGTAGTGTAGTGTATAGTAGTGTAGTGTATAGTAGTGTAGTGTATAGTAGGTAGTGTATAGTAGTGTATAGTAGTGTAGTGTATAGTAGTGTAGTGTATAGTAGTGTAGTGTATAGGAGTGTAGTGTATAGTAGTGTAGGGATAGGTAGTGTATAGAGTGTAGTGTATAGTAGGTATTGTATAGTAGTGTAGTGTATAGTAGTGTAGTGTATAGTAGTGTAGTGTATAGTAGTGTAGTGTATAGTAGTGTAGTTGTGTATAGTGTAGTGTATAGTAGTGTATAGTGTAGTGTTATAATAGTGTATTGTATAGTAGTGTAGTGTATAGTAGTGTAGTGTATAGTAGTGTAGTGTATAGTAGTGTAGTGTATAGTGTAGTGTATAGTAGTGTAGTGTATAGTAGTGTAGTATAGTAGTGTAGTGTATAGTAGTGTAGTGTATAGTAGGTAGTGTATAGTAGTGTAGTGTATAGTAGTGAGTGTATATAGTGTAGTGTAGTGTATAGTGTAGTGTATAGTAGTGTAGTGTATAGTAGTGTAGTGTATAGTAGTGTAGGTATAGTAGTTAGTGTATAGTAGTGTAGGTAGTAGTGTAGTGTAGTGTAGTGAATATAGGTGTATTGTATAGTAGGTAGTGTATAGTGTAGTATAGTAGTGTAGTGTATAGTGTAGTGTATAGTAGTGCAGTGTATAGTAGTGTGTGTATAGTGTAGTGTATAGTAGTGTAGTATAGTGTGTAGTGTATAGTAGTGTAGTGTATAGTAGTGCAGTGTATAGTAGTGTAGTGTATAGTGTAGTGTATAGTAGTGTAGTGTATAGTAGTGTAGTGTATAGTAGTGTAGTATAGTAGTGTAGTGTATAGTAGTGTAGTGTATAGTAGTGTATAGTAGTGTAGTGTATAGTGTATAGTGATAGTAGTGTAGTGTATAGTGTAGTGATAGTAGTGTAGTATAGGGTGTAGTGTATAGTAGTGTAGTGATAGTAGTGTAGTGTATAGTAGTGTAGTGTATAGTAGTGTAGTGTATAGTAGTGTAGTGTATAGTAGTGTAGTGTATAGTAGTGTAGGGTATAGGTGTAGTGTATAGGTAGTGTATAGTGTAGTGTATAGTAGTGTAGTGTTAGTAGTGGTAGTGTATAGGGTGTAGTGATAGTGTAGTGTATAGTAGTGTAGTGTATAGTAGTGTAGTGTATAG